TTCTGTACTAAGTGTGGAAGATCATGGTTTGATAATGGATCTCGGAACTGGAGACGTAGGCTTTCGGGGTTTCATGTCGTCTAAAGAGTTAGGCCCGAATATTGACATATCAAGCATCGAAGAAGGGTCCGTCTATCTATGCCTCATCACTGGCAAGAGCTCCACTGGCAGCATTATCAAACTCTCGGCGGATCCACATAAGATAGGCAATATCAAGAAGGGCAACTTTCTCACCAGCGCACCAACAGTGGACTCGTTCCTACCCGGAACGGCCGTTGATGTCTTGGTGTCCGAGACCGCGCCCTCAGGAATCGCTGGCAAAGTAATGGGTCTGCTCAACGTTACTGCGGATTTGATACACTCAGGAGCTGCTGCGAGCGGCAAAGATCTCGAGAAGAAATACCCGCCTGGAAGCAAGATCAAGGGGCGCATTATATGTACGTTCCCGACTGCGGAAGAGAAAAAGCTTGGTATCTCCTTACAGGATCATATCGTATACTGGAGACCTAAGACCACAACTACTGCATCTGTAACAGAAAAACCGTTACCCACCGAAATGCTACCAATCTCAAGCACTGTCGATGAGGCGAAAGTTGTCAAAGTCGAGCAAGGCACTGGATTGCTCGTCGATGTCGGAGTGAAAGGTGTTCGAGGCTTTGTCCACATCTCAAGGATATCGGATGGCAAGATTGAGACTCTGGCGGAATCTACTGGAGCATACAAGCTTGGGTCAGTCCACAAAGCTCGAATTATTGGCTATAATTCCCTGGATGGGTTATTCATAGTTTCTATGGAGCCGAAGGTCATCAGCCAGGCCTTCCTACGCATGGAGGATATAAAGGTCGGACAGGTGGTCAAAGGCACGGTGGAAAAGATGCTGGTCAACGAAACCGGTGTAAATGGTGTTATAGTCAGGATTGCAGAAGGCATCACAGGCCTGGTGCCTGAGGTACATCTGGCAGACATTCGCTTGCAGCATCCTGAGAAGAAGTTCAAGGAGGGCTCATCAGTCACCGCAAGGGTATTATCTACGATGCCAGAGAAAAGACAGATCCGTCTAACCCTCAAGAAAACTCTTGTCAATAGCGACGCTAAAATTTGGACGTCATACGAGGACCTGAAGCCCGGCCTTCAAGCTCCTGGGACCCTTGTCAATATCTTGCCATCTGGCGCCGTGGTACAATTCTACGGTTCTGTACGTGGTTTTCTACCAGTATCGGAGATGAGCGAATCTTTCATCCAAGACCCCAAACAACATTTCCGCACAGGTCAAGTTGTTAATGTCCATATCGTTACTGTCGATTCGTCAGATGAGCGGATGATAGTATCGTGCAAAGATCCGTCAGCATTTGGAGCTGCTCAGCAGGAGGCGTTCAAAAGCCTAAAGCCTGGAGAAACAGCCGTCGGTAATGTAACAGAAAAGACCAGCGAGGAGATCATAGTAACACTCGAACCGGCAGGACTGAAAGCGATTTTGCCGATTGAGCATCTTGCAGATGGTTCAGCTCAGAAGTGCCATTCTTTAGCTAAGAGGATCAGAGTGGGCCAAATCTTGAAAGAGCTGATGATCTTAAGCAAGCAAGAAGCGAAGCACCTGATCAGACTCACGAGCAAGCCCAGCCTTATCAAAGTTTCAAAAGAGGACAAATTAATGAAGGCTTTTGAAGACGTAGTGGAGGGCTCTGAGGTCCGAGGATTTGTACAGAACATTACCCCAACAGGTGTTTTTGTGCAATTCGCGAGTGATCTCACTGGCCTTCTCCTCAAGCAGCATTTACCCGATGAAGCAGCTCTGCTGCCTAATTTTGGCATGCGCAGGAATCAGTCAATATCACCGCGGATTCTGTCTGTGGACCATCGCCAGAGACGCTTTCTATTGACAATGAAGGCGTTGCCAGGTCTTGAACAGTCAGAGAGCAAGAAAGCTGCAGCTGCCAACTCTTTCGATATGAATTTATCTAATCCTGTAGACGAGGTCTCGACAAGCGTTGAAGATTTCACTCTAGGCAAGTTGACGAAGGCCAAGATTGTGTCCATCAAGGAAACACAGATAAACGTCCAACTAGCAGACGCTGTGCAAGGACGTATTGATGTTTCAGAAGTGTTTGATAGTTGTGAAGAAATCAACGATCGAAAGTCTCCTCTGAAGAAATTCCACACCAAACAGATACTCCCTGTTCGTATCTTAGGGATGCACGATTCCAGGAATCACCGATTCCTGCCGATCACACACCGAGGCAAAGCGCCAGTGTTCGAACTTACAGCAAAGTCAAGCAACCAGAGCTCAACAAATCTGGACATTTTGACGATTGACAAAGTTGAAGCCGGCTCTTCGTGGCTTGTGTTTGTCAACAACGTTGCAGATGACTGTCTCTGGGTCAATCTCTCGCCAAATGTTCGTGGCCGAATCCGAGCCATTGATGTCTCAGACGACGTATCTCAACTCAATGATTTGTCGAAGAACTTCCCGATTGGTTCGGTATTGAGGGCAAAGGTACTGAAGGTCGACGTTGAAAACAATCGACTTGATCTATCCGCGAGGTCCGACGGATCTTCAGCTTCTTTGACACTGAAGAATCTGTCCAAAAGCATGGTCTTGCCCGGAAGGATCACCAAAGTCACAGAACGTCAAGTCATGGTTCAACTTAGCGAGTCGCTCTCTGCACCAGTCCACCTCGTGGACTTGGCTGACGACTATTCCAAAGCTGACCCGACTGCATACGAGAAGAATCAAACCGTCCGAGTGTGGATCAAGGCCATAGATGTTCCCAACAAGAAGATCACACTGTCAGCCAGGCCTTCTAAGGTCCTAAGCTCCTCATTGCCCGTTAAAGACCCGGATATTGGGTCCATATCTCAGCTCAAAGTTAACGATATCAGGAGAGGCTTTGTCAAGAATGTTGCCGATAACGGAATCTTTGTCTCTTTGGCCAGCAACGTTACCGCCTTTATCAGGATCTCGGATCTATCGGATGCTTTTCTCAAAGACTGGAAATCGGATTTTGAAATTGACCAGTTGGTGGAGGGCAAAATCATCGCTGTCGATTCATTGCTCAATCATGTCCAGATGAGCTTGAAGAAGTCACAGCTTGACAAGGACTACAAACCACCTCTCGCTTTCTCAGATATGAAATTGGGGCAAGTAATCACAGGAAAGGTCCGAAAGGTAGAAGACTTTGGAGTTTTCGTCGTGGTGGATGACTCTGCCAATGTTAGCGGTCTCTGCCATCGAACCAAGATGTCTGACCGACCCGGTGCCAACCCGAACAAGCTATACGAAGAAGGCGATACAGTTCAAGCAAAGGTGCTGAATATCAACAAGGAGAAGAAGCAGATCTCGTTCGGACTGAAGGCTTCCTATTTTGGTAAGCAATTCAGAGATAAGGATGCTGCAATGAATGCTAGTAGTCCAGAAGATAGCGACATTGGGGATGCTAGTGATAGCAATGGTTTCATGGGTGAGGCGGATAGAAAGGGACTTGGCGCTTTACTGGGGGCTCACGAAGACCAATCCTCGGACGATGAATTTAATATGGACGATGTGCAAGACATAGATGATAACCTCGGAATGGATGACGGAGGTGTAGACCTTCCCCAAGAGGAATCTAGAGCTCCCAGCACTGCAAACGGTCTCCAAGGTCTCAGCACAGGCGGTTTCGACTGGACCGGCGGCATGTCCGCGGCCGACAACAGAGACGCCCAATCTGAGACCGACGCAGAACCATCCCAATTCAAGAAGAAAAAACGGAGAAAAGCCGAGATCAAAATCGACAAAACCGGCGACCTCGACGCCAACGGCCCACAGTCTATCGCAGACTTCGAACGCCTTCTCCTCGGCCAGCCAAATTCCTCCGTGCTCTGGCTCAGCTATATGGCGTTCCAGCTCCAGCTCAGCGAGGTCAACAAAGCGCGTGAGATTGCAGAAAGAGCCCTCAAGACAATCAACATCCGCGAAGAGACCGAGAAAATGAACATTTGGATCGGGCTGCTCAATCTGGAGAACACTTACGGAACCGATGAATCCTTAGCTGATATCTTCAAGCGGGCATGCCAGTACAATGACAGCCAAGAGATCCACGAGCGTCTGATAAGCATCTACATCCAGTCTGGACATGACTCGAAAGCGGACGATCTGTTCCAAACTACGATCAAGAAGCATGGCAAATCCCCAGATCTCTATATCAACTATGCAAATTTCCTCATGACTACACTAGCGGCTCCAGATCGCGCTCGTGCGCTATTACCTCGGGCAATGCAGTCCTTACCTTCTCATACGCATCTAGCTCTTACCAGCAAGTTCGCCCAAGTGGAATTCACGTCCTCGAACGGCGATCCAGAACGAGGGCGCACGCTCTTCGAAACACTGCTTGCGCAATGGCCCAAACGCTTGGATTTGTGGAACGTGCTGCTCGACTTGGAGATCAAACAAAGAGACAAGGAGGTCATTCGACGGCTCTTTGAGCGAGTAACTGGGAGCGGACCCTCGCTCAAGGCTAGACCGGCCAAGTTTTTCTTCAAGAAATGGCTTGAGTATGAGGGTAAGGAGGGGGATAGCAAGAGCCAGGAGAGGGTGAAGGCGCTGGCGGCGGATTATGTCAGAGCGCAGGGGAAGCAGGTTGATGTTGAGCAGACTTGATATATAGCTGATGATTTGATGCAATGTTGCCCAATATCGAAAACAATAGCTTTCACGTCCCTTTAGATGTTTCGATGATCAATTTCGTAGTTTGATTGAACATTGGCGGGCTTCTGAACATTGGAAATGGCATCCATGTCAGGACTGCAACGGCGTCAAGTGAGTCTCATGTACAGCCGCGAGTAAGTCATGTGTTCCTATCAACATTCAAAGACTTAGACATAGGTGTTTCAAGTTGGTAAATTATTCCGAAATAGCTCCTTTCTAATACTCAGCCAAAGTCAGAATCTATTTTCCGCCACCCCATTCACCTATTCCGAACGTGGAAGGGTGCCATGCGAGAGCAGACTGGTACCCATCCCAATCACAAGGCTTCCAGGCCACTCCTCATGCCCGCGTAGCGCAAAATAACCGTGATCCGCTCCACGCTCCCCGTAGTCGTCCACCCGCCAATCTTCACGGGGAAACTGAACGTGTTCACACACGCCATGTTCAGCTGCGTCGCCGCGGCCCCGACCCCGAGCCACGTGCTCGTGTCGTCGCTGAACCCGCTCTGGATCTTCACTTCCACGGTGCAGCTGTTGTATGTCTTTTGGACCGGGAGTCGGAACTGGTCGTCGGCGCCGGCGTTGTGGAAGTTGCCGATGATGTGGTTGGAGGGCAGGAGGCGGATGGCGGCGCCGCAGTCTGTGAACCTGGGTCTGCGGCGGGCGAAGGGGCTGGTGTTGGTGAAGCAGTGGGCTACGCTGTTGGCGGAGGGGGAGGGGGAGGAGGAGGAGGAGGAGGAGGAGGAAACGTTGGTGGGGGGTGTTGTCGATGTGAGGTTCACTGGGTGGTGGATGGGAGAGAGGTCTGATGTTGGAGGAACGGCGAGGGAAAGGGCTGTGGAGGCGATTACGGTGAGCAGGGAAAGGATTCGACATAGAATTATCATCGTGCACAACTTTGGTGGCAGGAGAACGGAAACCATTGCGTTCTGGGAATCGACCCTTCGACATAAAATGCCAATGCGCGTTTTGTCGCATATGGCAGAGCCGTCTTTGGCGTGGTCTAAAGCGCACCATGCGTGCCTATCCTGTCATGCAGAAGATCCACACGCTCGAGAGTTACTGCATTATCGAGACATTTGCGGCGTCCGTTACACGGACGCCCCCCACGGCCACATAGAAATTATCCGCGGTGCTACCAACATCCGCGGTACCACCCACGGGATACTTGACACCAACGACACACTTTGTCATGATCTCATGCGCAGTGTATGCTACATCAACCATCCGGAAGGTGTCTGTCCGGGTCATGTCGGGGTTCTTGACAAATATGGCGCACTGGCCAAATATCCACTTCTGGTTTCGTGGTAGCGAGAGGTTAATGTCTGCAGAAGCTGTGTAGCCAAAAGTTTGCAGAAACATCGGATTCGGGTATCTCAGAATGATTTGGTTGATGACGAATTGGCAATCTTCCACAGCTGCAGGCTTCAATTGGATGGAGTAGGGATTGAAACAGGTGACTGGGTAGCTTGGAGGTGCTTCGATGCTTCCCGAGAGGTTCGTTGAGGCCAGAACCAGGTTCGAGGTGCTCAGTGCGCCTTCTGGTACCATGCTTTGTCTGCCCGTCGAGGGCGAAGAGCCCTGCGGTGGAACAGAAGCTCTCTTTTCCACGCTAACACTCGGCGCAGGAGAAATGGTCGAATCGTTGACCTCATACTCTCCAATTGACGACTCAGAATTCGACGTTGTGCGTAGTACGCTACGTTGTATATCCCCTTCGGAAAGATCGAGATCTGACAACAAAGATATGTTGGACTGGCGTGCAGCGTCGCTGTCTTGCAGTCCTAGAACGCCGACGTAAAAAGAATTGTTCGGTGAACCGATGGCAGTCGTCCCTCCTGCAAGAATCTGCTGGTCTTGGATGCATTCTTTCAAGATCTTGTTTGCGGCAAGGACAACATTGAAAAGCTGTAACGTTTGTTCCTGGTGCTTTTCCACACACGCGACAATGATGACACACCGATCACGATGCCATCGAGAGAGGTACCATTTGCCAGACTGATCTTTGAAGGATCTGTAGTTGAAGAGGAGGTCCTGGAAAAGAAGGCCGTCTTGTTGGAGGAGGATCTCATTGATAATCCAGGAGCAGTCCGATATAACATTCATGAGGTCCGGCTGCGGTACGTGACGTCCACGCGATGGGCGAGGAAAGCATGTGGTAGGATAGACTGGGTAGTCTTGCACCGAATTTGTTAGATTGATCTGCGATACGGCCCCTAGAGATACATCATTGGTCAGGCTCAGGCTTTGTGACCTTGTGTTAGATGGATATGCTAGGGACGCCGGATTAATTAGTACGAGCAGAATAGGGACCCAAATGCCGAAGAAGTCCATGGCAGTCGCGTTTGCAACCCTTGCTAGAAGCCGCAAGTATAGAAGATTCTGTGTTGTCTTGAAAAGGAGGATAATGTATCAGAATCTAAAGGAGAGCCATTTTCGAACTTGTGACATTGCATCCCCAGGGCGCGGCCAGTGTGCAAGTTGCAAAACTCGCGGCGGGTGTAGGCAAGCTGGCGAACAAATCATTTCACGGCTTGGAGATGAATTTATTTTCTCAGTTGCAGGGGCGCGTTGCGCTTGCAAGGCGCGTAATAGAGCCATAGAACCGGGATTTCGACAGGTTCAAACACATCATTGTCAATCACTTCACAAGCGAAACAGACACTTGCTTCACCAACAAGACTCTTCCTGGGAACAACAGCTTTTTGGTTCGCGATGCCATTCGCCAAGACGAATTTGCTTCTGCTCTTCGCCCTCTTGACATCTCAATCTCTCACTCTGAGCATTCCGCAAGCAACGAATCCAACCGCTCTTCTTGCAGGCAATCATACCCTGAATAGCGAGGTGCACTGCTACTCAAACAATCCCTACATGTTCAACAGGCCCAGCGCTCGAGATTGCATGAGCGCCATTCGCCGCCTTCCTTCTAGCCACATCCATGGCACATTCCACGGTCCCGGCAGTGGTGAAGACCAATTTAAGCTGCCTGTCTCAAAGTCATGGGGTGAATGTCAAGTCTTCGTCGAACTTAAAAGCCTCATGCCCGAGGATGGTACTTGGCTGGGACTTAGTCTGGCGGCGACGCAACTGACAAGTGCATGTGCAGACCGTGAGGGTTACCTTTCAAAGAGGGGCGGTTGGACGGATGCAGGGGATCATGACAGGATTAGGATCACCGTGCAATCCATAGGGCAAAACGCTTGACAAGGTTGGCGATGAGACGATCGCGGGTGTCGAGGCGTAAGCCGGATGTCTTGCTTAACGGCTTCAAAGCATGGCGAAGGCATGTCGCTGATTTTCTCTGGCTAATGAACGGCGTTGGCTCCCAAAAGATATTGATGAGATATTGATGAGATCAAAACTAGTGGGTGGGCCCCACACTGTGTATCTGTGTGCAAATGATGCACCGACGTCGCCTGCACTAAGACTGCATTTTGTACTGCATCCACCTCTACGTGCTTTGTTCACGGTGGAACCGATCGTAGAGGAACCAAAGACCCGACAAGATAGTCATTACGGCGGGAGCAAAGATGTTTTGAGATGCTTCCCTACCGCCTGTTCCACCTAATTGAGAGGCCAAAAACCCCATAATCCCAAAGCCGAGCCCTGCGGCCATGAGATAATGTGCCGCAAAGGGGGTGCCAGAGTTTGGTTCTACTTTCGAGCCATGTCGCCCGAGATAGCCTCCACCAAGCACAGCAGTGTATCATTTTCCTTGGCGATCTCCCGTCATGTTGTTATGAATGAGGTAATGAATGCAGCTTCGCCGCAAGTGCCTTGCCATGGTGTTTGCCCATTTCAGCAGACGATCCAAGATCACACGTCAGGCAGCACGATTCTCTGCGAGAAGGGATCAGAACTGATGAATGGATTGGAGACAGCCAGCTTTGTGGCCTTTTGAGATGACCTACTTAGAGAAGATCTTTGGATTGCAAATCGGTGTTGACAATTAGATCGGCCCGCCTCGCGTCTGGAGCGGTTGCGCGCGCTTAGATAGGTAGTCTTGGCACCAATCCAAGTAGGTTCCGAACTTCCGTTATGAAGACCCAGTGATACGCTTTACTCTGTTAATATTTGGGGATGTAACTTGCTCGTTGTGAACAACAACTCGGTGCAAGTAGCCGAGGCGAAGATACCTCTTCTGAGGGATCATCGAAGCATAGAAGGCCTCTTTGGGCTTTTCGACAGTAATGCAGGACCCACAAAGTGTGTTGTGGACAATTTTTCTTCGCATAATGACGAATATTATCTTGAATGCGTTCAATGTGTCGGTTTTTGACCTTTGATCGAGCTCGACACGCGAAACTCGAATGCATTCGAGGGATAGGTGCAGTGTGGAAGGGCCGCAATTCCAAAGTCATCCGCGAGGTATTTGGGAGAAGGATAGCGCGCTGTAACAGAGGCCGGTAGTGGTACTGTCCATTCATAAAGAAGACATATACACTGCTATTCGCAAGGAAGTCAGAAAATGGGGTGTGCGTAGAGGAGTTTTGGCTAATGTTTGCATTCCTTAGATGGTTAACTTCCCTAGATCTAGCTTCCCTCCATCATACCTCTGCTCTTCTCGCGTCTTTCAGGAAACATGCCCTTTAGGTACCCCAACCACCGGGTGCAGACTGTTAGCCGCGGATCAGTCCTCCTTCTTAAACACCCCATCCTCCTCCGAGCTTTCTGTATCTGCGGCCTCAGTATCCTCAGACAGCAGGGTGTCCGCCTACTCAACATGGTCCTCTGCCTACCAAGAGAAGCAGACAACATGATCAAGAAGTTCGCGATCAAACTCAGCAAAATTCCCTGCTACCGCTTCCGCAAGCCGTGATCTCAAGCTCTTCAGCCTTTCCTGATAGATTTGACGAAGCATTGTGCACTAGTAGTCGTTCAGATGTTCCGCATACCACTCTTTGTTGTCTTTGACATATTTTGCTCTCTCCTCAGGGTCGATGCTTTCCAGGCTTCCGACGTCTTTGTGTTCAGGCTCATAGAGTTCGTCTGCTGAGTCTATGAAAACAGGCGGGCGTGTTAGGAAGAGGAGTGGCACGAGCTTGATGTACTTCCAATCTAAGACAGCGACAGGTCGCCGCCGTCATCTACGAAGATGTTCCACTGGGAAAGGTCACCACAACGAGCATTGTGACCATGTCGTGAGGACTCTCGGCTTTGGCGCACGATTCTGGGAAAGCTGCTTGAAGACTGCTGATCCCAGTTGCAAGCAGCTCTAGCTCCCCCATTCGATCTTCGAAGAGTGCCTCGTCTGATTTCTCGTAAGAATCGTTGAGAAGGAAGAATACTGATTGGTCCAGAAAGGTTCCCTTGAACCGGAAGGACTCGGACTTGTACGCTAGAGTAACGTTTTGGACATCAAGCTTCGCCATTGCGAGAAGTGCTAAATAGTAGTCCTGCAAAGACTTGAACGGCTCCCGGGATAAATCATATGATAAATGGTTCTCTAAGGGAAAAGATTGCTCACACATCGCCCGACGAAGAACTCCAGCTCATTATCTGTATGGCGCATGTAAATACTGCCGATCTTGATGGAGGTGATACTGGCTAGTTGAGCTGACCAACCTCCCGCCGTCTCAGCAAGGCGAACTTCGGTGTCATATCTCATGGCTCGCCAAGAACAGTGCGGGTCACGGCCAGAGGTAATTCGGTCCATGAGAACCCACTCGAGGCCCAGTCCATTCCGGGTGGATGAGTCATAGGCATAGATGGTTGGGACCGGGATAGATGTGAAATGTCTAACCAGCTCAGCCGTGGCCACTTCAGATTCCACTTTGTAACACGGATCGACGGGGAAAGCAACGCAAAAGACGTAATCTCTGGCCGTGGTTTGGATACTGTAGATTCTGTTGAATCCGCCGTTGGTGAGAAATCTGATAGAGACGTCTTCATTATGCTTGCAACCGAGACGTTCCGGGAAAGGCCATACAGTCTCTTTGATTCCGTCGATGCTTGGTCCACTCGGCCAATTTGGGTCTGGGAGGAAATAGCCGCGCTCGTGAGACCATCGCATACCATTTCTTTGGGCCTCTAGAGAGAACACAGGTGGCGCTCCTGTCAAGACCTGTATCGGAGACTCCGGCCTTGGTATACTCCTAAACACGTCAGATGCACCATGTACTGGGGCGCTAGTGGAATCCATGTCTGTGATGAAATCAAAATGAGGTTACTTCAAAGCATTATTCGTTCTATGAGATGTAGAAAATCCTTCCTTACGTTCGGTAAAATGATAATGGTTAAGGAGTTGACAATGAGCCTTCATTCTTTGTTCTATGTGTAAGCCACATTGAAGAGACAGGTGCTTGAGATATTCCAGAGGAGGATGAGATGGATCCATTTGTCCTGTGGCTCAAGAGAGTATTGTTTGGGTGCTATCATTGCTGATATCGATCAAACAATAAAGAGAAGTTTTGGGCAACATTGAGACTCTTAGCTGCGATTAATACAAGATTTGGCCCACTAAAAAGCATAGTAGCTGCACACACAGTTACTGTCCTTGAAATAATTGGTCAACCTGGTGGAAAAGACGATTCAAATGGAAAAAAGCCAGGTCTCAACGAACCAATTCTCGACGTTTCGGCTTCTACGAGTACTCGGCAGCACTAGCGCCGATATGGATTAGGGCAGAAAATGTTTAGCGAATTTCCTCCAGAGCTGTTTCCGAGGCACATATTTTTCTATTACTCCTCGAGCCGCTTTCGATCGCAGCAAGAATGACAGAACGCAGAACAGCCCATGGGCCAGGACCTGATACCAAGGGCGGCGGCTTTAGAGGTGGACCAAAGCGGTGGACCGGTGGTGGGCCTGCGCCCGCAAGACACATACCATGGCCGGAAGTATGACATACTGAACCCCAAAGATAACGTAGCTTACAAGTCGCGCGTCAGATCTTTAAGCACCACATCTCCGTTGTCGAAGGCCATCTGAAGATGATTGACATGGTCCGGAAGCACACCGTCGAAGGATCGGGCAATTACCGCACGATCATGGGCTGTGTGGATCGAGCGAAGGAGATGCTACAAGTCTCGAAGCAGATTTCGAGAACGTTTGTATGGACACTTTGAGCTCATGATACAGCGGCTATATACTAACAAGAACTAGGTCCCACCATCGAACCATCGTGAGCAAGTGCCATTGGGATCTTCTTCCGCCTCTATGTATCCCGGATACTCGCCTGCGGATCATGAGTATGGAAAAGCGGCCGAGGAGTATGGCAAAGCTGCTGCGGAAGCCAGAGCTAAGGGTATAGAGCTGAAGCACCCAGATGCCGAATACGTAATTGGTCAGGCTAAAGGTGTTAAGAGAAGCACATTGGCGGGCATCCGGGAAGCGCAGGCTGCTAAGGGTAAGGCAAGCGGTAGTGGCGGTGGCAGTGGAAGTGGTAGGGGCTCAGGATCTGAGGGCCCCATGAAGCAGGAACCCAGAAAGTCGGCTACCGCGAACGGGAAAGCGAGTACTGAGAAGGTTCAAGAAGCCACTCTGGAAGGCGATAATCCATATTTCATCATCGACACCAAGCCTACGCCTGTCGACATACCAGGAATGTCCTCCCAATCTCTCAAACGAAGCGCCTCTCCTCCAGAAGCTGTCGAAGCTAAGAAGCATAAGAAAGCAAAGAACACGCATGACGGCGACATACCTAGAGGCGAAGACACCCAGGAGGCCAAGACCGAAGACATATCTGACCAGGTTGATGCGCGGATGAAGGAGAAGGAGAAAAAGCGGAAGATGAAAGAGGAGAAGAAGCGCAAGCGGGAATCAGAAGACGAGCCTGCCGTAGGGTCTGAGGATTTTCAGCCCGCTGTCGAAGCTTCTGCCACCGCCGCAGAGGCGGAGAGCCCTAAGAAGAAGAAGGCTAAGCAGACTGAGGAAGAGGCGCTACCAGATCGGACTGCGTCGAAGAAGCGACTTGGCGAGGACAAGGGGGAAGCAGAGGATGGCGAGGGCAAGAAGAAGAAAAAGCGAAAGAAGAGTAAGGATTCGGCAACAGCTAGTGATGGATAAGCTCATTGTTGCTTTGAAGCCTGTAGCAAGAGTGATTTACTGGCTACCCTTAGCATGTTCCTCGATTGAGTACCTTAGGACTCTAGGAGAATGATGTACGTAGCTCCTTCTTGATCTACGGCAGGGTTTATGGATACTAAGAATTGGCGGCTGTACTCTATTAAAGCTTCTTTTGACCTATATATATGATGAAGAAGTAAGGTAAGAGTAATAACTTGAAGCCGAATATCACGGATGTAGAACTAAGATACTGTACCTTACTAACTGTCAAGATATAAGATATCTAAATGTTGCGGAATGCTACTGTAGCTTCTCATTGCCTACTTTACCTATCTACGTCAGCTTTTATCTCCGCGTTATGTGTTACCTGCCCGATGATTTATGATTTATGATTTACTGCCCAACCTGCCTTTTTCTCCCTCTTCCTTCCTCACCCAATAATCTCCCTCCGTCGCCGCGCTTTTCCAATCATTTGCCTGTCTATATCCAAAACATCAACGGCTGAATTCCTTGACGAATCATCATACTTTAGCGTTCGAGACAGCCCTGCATCTGCATCTTCTCAATCTCCGTACCCGCTCTTCCTCCGTATCCTCATCTGCTTACCGCGCTCCCCTTGGACTCCACTCGGATCAAGTTTGCCTTTTCAGATCACAAGAGCTTTTGAGAAGTACTCGGTATTTTCTAAAACACTCTTCCCCGTGACGCCATCCAAGATTATTGTACTCCACACGGGACAACCTTGCACCGTGCTCTCACTGGGACCTCTCAAAAGCAGGCTGCCGCTTCTCAAACATCTTTTTTCCGCTGACACCATCCACAATGCTTTCGACTCCACCCAGGATAACCCTGCCTTTTCTGATCACTTCGACTTTTTAGAAGCGAATCTCCACCTTTTGAAACATTCCTCCCCGTTGATGCCATCCAGGTCTCGGATTCTGTTTGACTCCGCACAGGAGAACGTTGAACACAACGGCCTTCTAAAAGCAGAGCGTTGCTTCCGAAACATCTTTGTCCGCCGACATTTGCCGCCAATCCCAAACTTTCGGCTCTCTGGCCACATTGATCGCCATGGGTACAAGAGCAGAGCAGCTACAGATGCCGTCAACAGCAATCAAAGAGACTAAAGAACCCTCCAGTCCAGAGATGTCTCTTTCCCCTACCGCTCCTTCGCTGCCTCCAACCTCGAACCCGAAAACAAACCCCGGTTCAAGTCCTGGTGCTGCAGGACAGTCCCGCTGGGTCCCAATGCCCTACGAGCCAACCAGAATAAGCACCACGAGGAAAAACCCATCCATAGAAAGGTTCCTGGGTAGCTCTCATGGACATTTCGTGCGCGGCGTAGTCTCCGCAACCAGCAACGGTTCATCCGCGCAAGGCTCAGGAACCGAAAGTGGACTTCCATCCGCTTCAAATCCCACACCGAAGTCATTCAGCCGCTCGACTGCTGAATCTCTACTTGGTGTGTTGAGTAAGATTGGAGTCTGGTACTTGAATATAATCACTGCACTTTTCGGGGTTGATGCTTGGGCAAGATTGATGCAGCGGACTGCAGAGATAATACCCAGCACTGAGAGTACTGTAGCTGCAGCACCTCCGGATGTCATCAAGACTGTACCAATGCCACTGTTTCCAATCCGTGTGTTCTACGGGAAGCCTCCTCCGTTTTCTCTGGAAGCACAAAAGCGCAAGATGCGCTGGAGATACCGTTGGTTTTTCGACCTTGCCCCGGAAATCATTCAGGAGCCAGATGTCCAGCACATCAAAGAGACCGTTCAACAGTATATTGATTTCATCGCCCCAGAGACGGAAGCAATTTCCGTGGAATTGTTGGCGCAAGGAGCTTTCAATCAAGCATACAATATTACTGCCGAGAACAAGGCTACAGGGTTTTGCAAGGAATACGTCTTCCGTGTTGCGCTACCTATCTATCCCCATTACAAAGTTGAGAGCGACGTCGCCACGACCGAATTCGTCAGGCATACGACTACTGTGCCTGTCCCCATCATTTACGCTTTCGATTCTTCTCCGAGCAATAAGCTTGGCTTCGAATGGATGCTTATGGAGAAGGTCAAAGGGGTATCCCTCTACGACGTATGGGATACGATGGGGTACAATACCAAGCAGGAACTCACCAAAGTCGTTGCAAAATGGATGGATCAGCTCTCGCGACTCAAATTCAACACAACTGGTTCTCTCTACTGCCGTCTAAGAGCTCGTCAGATGGAGTTCTACATGGGACCTACGTTACATAGCCGACTGTACGAAGGTGATAGGCTTCTGCATGACATTCACCGAGGACCTTTTGAATCACTCCACGCCCTTTATGATGCAGTGCTCGATGCAACAGAGAGACACATTAATGATCCCAGACATAGCGCTCGTCTTGCGCTGGAAGCTACGATGTCTGACGAAGAACCGTCGAGTTCGGAAGACGGATCATCTGATAATCCTCAGCAAGCTGGCCAGAAGTCTGAAGAAGAGATTTTGGATGAAGCAGACGAGGAGGACCGAAGGAATGAGCGACACTACGGCGTTACAGAGGTCGATCTATCGTGGCTACCCGAGGAGCTACGAACCTATAGGAATCTACTATCAAAACTGTGCCCGTCTACCCCCGAGCCGATGATTACAATGCTCACGCACCCTGATCTTTCGACCCCAAACATTTTCGTCAACGAATCTGGCGCACCAGTGGCTCTGATAGACTGGGAAAGAGCTCGGATCGAGCCAACTGCCCTTTTCAAGGCCTTGCCACAATTCTTGACCAATGACTTCAGTACCGACCCAGACTACTTCTACGTCCCTACAGGGCCTACGATTAGCAGCGAAAAAAAGCGACCTAAGGTCTACTTCTACGGGGATGACGATCTGGCACGAATAAGGGGCCAGAGTGAAGAGACCTATACGCAGGTCATGGGCAGGATTCAGAAGACCCACCTTCGCGCATTCTATCGAGAAGAGCTGAAGCGATTGCAATCTCCTATATGCAAGGCCTTGAATCGAGACCCAGAGAGCTTAGAGCAGCAGCTGATCAGCCGAATCTACTGGCCAGACAATGCACCGCCCAACTCTGCTACCGACTGGGCACTAGAGCATCTTGGCGAGTCAAATCTGGCTGACTCGGATCAGGAGCAT